GATTCAGGCCAGAGAAAAGAAAGTCCTTCACACCGCAAATAGTTAAACGATGGAATCACTTCCACAGGAGGCAGTGATGGCCACCAACTTGGATGGCTGTAAAAGAGGATTTGACAAATTCAATGCAGATAAGGCTATCAGTGACTCATATCCATGATGGCTATGCTCTGCTTACATGGTCGGAGGCAGTAATGCTTCTGGATATGAGTTCCTGGAAATGCCAAGGTGGGAGAGAGAGCTCTTGTGCTCAAATCCTGCGTGCAGGTTTTCCGTTGGCTGGCCACAGCAAGAACAGGATGCTGGCTTGATCCAGTAGGATCTTCTTATGTTCTTAGGTTAACTTATTGAATAGTTTGATTCGATACATTCAGGTCTGAATCAAGACAACAGTTTCCTATCCCATTCCAGGGGCTGATTTACTCAGCAGTGCTAAGTAAATTGTGGGTTGTGAAGGTCCATCGGGTTCATTTTGCAATCATTTCAGCTCTGGCTCTATTTTCCACCACGTAAACATGATTTCTGCTGTCACTAATTACCACTGCTTCAAATGGTCTTTTTGCTGACGTTTCGGCTCTGATCGACTTGCCACGGACTGTAGCTGTTGCATGCCATTGCCACTTAATGCCAACCTTTGCCATTTTATTTCCTTATCACCCATTTGTGCATAGAGAGGGATACACACCTGACAATAGAGGAACGTGTTCCCTGCCTTAGGTAAAAGTGGGCTCTAATCCACAGGAAAGCTTCTGACAGGTGCCAGGTGTGTAGCTCAGGGACAGAAGATTTGCTTTCAGTAAGGAAAGTCCCAGAATTGATCTCCAGCTCAAAAAGAATCACGTAGGAGATGATGGAAAGGCGGAGGACTGCAGCTCTGTAACTGAGCTCCTGTTTTGCATGTTGCCAGTCATTGCAAGCAATACTGAACTAGGTGGAAAGTCGGACTGACTCATTCTAAGGCAGCTGCTTTCTACATTCCTGACTGGGAAGGACTGGTGCTCTGTGACAAAGCATCAGCTTTGCTTGCAAAAGCTCCCAGGTTCAATCATGAAAAGCAGGAGCAATTGGATTACCAAGCAGGGTGGGACACGGTGTCTCCTTTGCATGCAAAGTGCCCAATCCCTGCTGGCATCTTCGAGCAAAACTGGGAAAAGACTCCCTAAGACCTTGGAGAGCTGCTGCCAGTCAGTATAGATAATATTGAGTCAGATGGACCGGTGGTTTCACTTGGCAAAAGGCAGCTTCCTGTGTTAAACCTTTAGTCAGAACAATGAGGACTGGAGCCTCAGGCTGTTTATAGAGGAAAGGCTGTAGTTCTGGCTGGTAGAGCATCTGCTCTGCATGCAAGAGGTCCTGGGTCCAATCCCTGCTGGCACCTCCAGGTAGAGCTGGGGAATAGACTCCCTGCCACAGAGAGACATTGCTGCTGCCAGCCAGTGTTATGATAGCAAGCTATCTAGGTCAATGGCCCTCCCACTTCCATGCAGTCTGCTCCAGACATCGTCTTGTCCTCCTCGGAGGGCGTGAGGTCCACAAGCAGCAGGGCCACGCCCCTGCCACTGAAAGCACCAAACCGGTCTGGGCAGTGAATGTTACCAGACACACTGCACAACAGCAGCAGCCGCCAGCAAGCCATCATCTCAGAGGTCCCTGAAAATAGAAGCCAGGGAACGTGGAGGGTGGCTCCACTGAAGGCAACCTGCTGCCATCCATTCCTTCCCTTGTAAACATCTTTAGGATCATGGCCCCAAAAGCGACGCGGTGAATTGGATAAGATCTCTTTAATCAAGCGACCGCCCTAATAAGGTTGAGCACGTTGTTAAGCTCACAAGCGGAGTACTGGAAAGACATCCCCCCACCCCCCGTATTCTCACAGGAGAAGGCTAGCATGGATCCACAGCTAGAGGCAGTAATGCTTTGGACATCAGCTGCTGGGAACTGCTACGAGGGGAGATGGTGCTTGTGCTCAGGTTCTGCTTGCGGGTTTTGAATCTGGGTCTCCACAGTCCTAGACCAACACTCTCATGCTCTAATTCTGCACATTTTCATGGATCTACATAGACCAAGTAGATAACATTGGGGCTGGGGCTGCCCAGTATCCCCACCCACCCTCTTTGGGCTGCCTGGTTGATGTTGACCCATGAAAGGGCATTTTCAGTGGTGGCTCCCTGGTTGGGGAATGCCCTCCCTCGTGAGGTGCATCTGCTTCCCTCATTATTGACTTTCAGGAGGATTTTTTATTTTTTTTTACCCAGGCCTTGGCTGGCAGAAAGACACTGTCCCAGACAACACTGAAACTACCAGCTGAGTGAATGCAATTGTTTAAAGCTGTTTGCATGCTGTTTCCGAACGATGTTGTTGTTGATCAGTTTCTTGCCCGTGGCTCCTTAGGGAGGAAGGGCGGGATGTACGTTGAATAGATGATGAAGATAAAGTAAAGGTAATGCATTCAGACGCCTGGCGAAAACAGTGTGTGGCTCACGCGGGGTGCATTAAGTGCGCAACACTCTGTTGGGGAGATTTATTTGCAAGAGCAAATGTGCGGGTGTTCCTTTCAAGGAGGCGAATTATCAGGTATTCAAGGCATACCTGTCTAGGAACGTACTCTGGCAAAGGAATGTGAAGGGCAGGGGCCGAGAATGAAAAGTTCTTTGTCATGAAAGGCTGGACAAGGGCCAGCGAGGATCTGCACAGCTTGTTGGCTTCCAGAGATCTCTGCCCAGCATTGCCCTCCATGCTTATGGCATGCAGGCGATGGAATTAAGAGCATAAGGAGAGCCTGCTGGGTCAGGCCAGTGGCTCATCCAGTCCAGCATCCTCTTCTCACAGTGGCCATTTTCTCTGGGACGCTTGCAGGGCATGAGGTTAGGTAAAGGTAAAGGGACCCCTGACCATTAGGTCCAGTCGTGTCCGACTCTGGTGTTGCGGTGCTCATCTCGCTTTATTGGCCAAGGGAGCCGGCGTACAGCCGGGTCATGTGGCCAGCATGACTAAGCCACTTCAGGCGGACCAGAGCAGTGCACGGAAACGCCGTTTACCTTCCCGCCGGAGCGGTACCTATTTATCTACTTGCACTTTGACGTGCTTTCAAACTGCTAGGTTGGCAGGAGCAGGGACCGAGCAATGGGAGCTCACCCCGTCGCAGGGATTCGAACTGCCGACCTTCTGATCAGCAAGTCCTAGGCTCTGTGGTTTAACCCACAACGCCACCCGCGTCCCATCGGGCATGAGGTTATCAAGGGCTATTAGCCACGATGGCTGTGCTCTGCCTTCACAGTTGGATGCAGCAATGCTTCTGAATCCCAGTTGCTGGAAACCATAGAAGGGGAGGGTGCTTTTGTGCTGGAATCCTGCTTGTGGGTTTCCCATTGGGGCATCTGATTGGCCCCTGCGAGAACAGGGTGCTGGACTAGATGGGTCATTGGCCTGTTCCAGCAAGCTCTTCTGACGTCTTTGTGGGCTGTTTGGGGAGGTTCCCTCTCCCTTAGGGGTTTATTTTCTAAATATTTGTCATACTTTTGCAGAACTGGAGGTTCATGCAAGCCTGCTGATACTTCCCTGCTTGGGCGGTTTAGTTTTGGCTCTGAGAACGAGTTAGCAGCTAGTACTCATCATACACCAGTAATGGTGACACCGTTCTGAGAAGGCCCATGCCGTCAGTTCTGCTTGCAAAACCATAGCACTGAGCTAGTTATTCATTTCCGTCTGTTTGCGGAGTGCCCAAGGCCTTAGAACAGTCCCTTTCCACAACTCAATATGTTTTCGAAAGTTCTGCAGCACTTGTCAAGCGTGAGCTGAATCGATCCAGGCAAAGTGGTTTGCAACACAGCTCAGGTCTTGCAAACACAGCGTCTGAACAGCTTATCTTAGCAGCCAGGAAGATTGTCAACAGGAAATGTCACCAAAGGTGGAACTGTCCCACAAAAAGACAAACTGGAGAGGTCAAAGGTCAGGAAAGGAGATTAATGTGTAAGGCCAGGTCACTGCCATCACTTCCACCTGACCAAGGCTAAGTCAACCAGGACAGTGCCAGGCCTAAGAGCCAGCAGCAAATCAAGGATGCTGGCTCAGGAAAACAAAAGTGGGGTTTGAGTTGGAATCTCCATAGATAAAGACATGTAGCTGAGCAGCAGAGCATCTGCTTTGCATTCAGAAGGACCCAGGTTCAATCCTCAGTGACATCTCAAAATAGGGCTGGGGAAAAGACTCACTGTCTAAAACCTTGGAGAGCTGCTGCCAGTCAGTGCAGACAGTACTGAGTTAGATGGACTAAGGGTCTGTTGAAGTATAAGGCAGATTTCTACAATTCTCTATAAAGCAGCTCTTGGTTTGGAACTGGTTGGAATCTTAGCTTGGTTGTTGAGTACCTCCTTTGCAGGCAGAAGGTCACAGATTCAATCCCTGGCATCTTCAGACAGGGCTGGGAGACCCTCCCTGGAGACACCCCTGCGCCTGAAACCCCAAGGAGCAGCTGCCAGTCAGTGTAGACAGTACTGAGCTAGATGGACCCAAGGGTCTGACTTGGTAGTTCTCAGAACAAACAAAGACTACCTGAACACACAAAGGCTGATCTGGGGAGAAATGATACTGGGCATTCTATCAGCTGGATAGCTCAGTTGGTTCGAGCATGGTGCTGGTAATGCCAAGGTTGCAGGTTCGATCCCCATAAGGGGCAGCTGCATATTCCTGCATTGCAGGGGGTTGGACTTGATGATCCGCAGGGTCCCTTCCAACTCTATGAATCTATATGAGCATGTGGAAATACCCCTGTGGGGTGCCAGTCTCTCTCTGGCGGGATCACAGCCTGTCTCAGGCAGCATTTGACCCAACCCACAACAGCTGGGCCCATGGCACCGATGCCCAGAAACCTCTTCTTCCTTTGCCAAGGCAATCTGGGGTGCTTCGGGCAGACTGAAGGTTAGCCCCCTGTCTGCTGAGCCCCTGAAATGCCAAGCTGGGCCAGGACGTGGCCGGGGTGGGGAAATAGGGGGAGGTCCACTCACCTGCGGAGCTCTCTGCGGCCTCCAGCGAGCGAAGGATCCCAGGAGATGGCGGAGGGAGGGAGGCAGGGGACGGGAGGGAAGGGAAGGGGCGGCTGGCAGGGGTCTCTCCCTGGGCATGGAGTGGAGCTGCAGAGCGAGCTCCTTGAGAGGGGAAGGCTGGGCCAGGCAGGTCGCCAGGGGAGGCGGAGAAAGCCACAGGGGATCAAGAGCAGGTGTGCGGAATGTGTGCCTGGAATCAACAGCCCGTCCTGGAGGGAAGGGAAGGAGGCAGCTTTGGCTAAGGAGGCCCAGCCAGGACGTGAGTGCAACCAAAGACCTGCATGGCTGAGCTCCTGCTTCCCAACTCATCCTGCCTTGCAACAGTGAATCCTGGAGAGAGGATGTCTGTGCAGGCTCAGGAATTCCTGCAGCAGCTGTCGCAGAGAGTAACTCCCACCCCAGATACCTCTTTGGTTATTTTTTATTTTGTGACTGATATATTGCATTTATACCCCACTTTGTTCTCCAAGGAGTTCAAGGTGGCATGCATGGTTCTCTCCCTCCTCGTTTAATTCCCACAACAGCCCTGTGAGGTGGGTTAGGCTGAGAGGCAGGGACTGGCCCAAGGCCACCCAGTGAGCTTCATGGCCAAGTGGGGGATTTGAACCCTGGTCTCTCCCAAGTCCTAGTCCAGCATTCTAACCACTGCACCAGGCTGGCTGAAATAATAATAATGGTGAAATAATAATACAGTAAGGGACGCGGGTGGCGCTGTGGGTTAAAGCCTCAGTGCCTAGGACTTGCCGATCGAAAGGTCGGCGGTTCGAATCCCCGCGGCGGGGTGCGCTCCCGTTGCTCGGTCCCAGCGCCTGCCAACCTAGCAGTTCGAAAGCACCTCCGGGTGCAAGTAGATAAATAGGGACCGCTTACTAGCGGGAAGGTAAACGGCGTTCCGTGTGCGCTGCGCTGGCTCGCCAGATGCAGCTTGTCACGCTGGCCACGTGACCTGGAAGTGTCTCCGGACAGCACTGGCCCCCGGCCTATAGAGTGAGATGGGCGCACAACCCTAGAGTCTGTCAAGACTGGCCCGTATGGGCAGGGGTACCTTTACCTTTACCTTAATAATACAGTGGTACCTCGGGTACCTAGTGGTACCTAGGGGACGCGGGTGGCGCTGTGGGTAAAAGCCTCAGCGCCTAGGACTTGCTGATCGCATGGTCGGCGGTTCGAATCCCCGCGGCGGGGTGCGCTCCCGTCGTTTGGTCCCAGCGCCTGCCAACCTAGCAGTTCGAAAGCACTTCCGGGTGCAAGTAGATAAATAGGGACCGCTTACCAGTGGGAAGGTAAACGGCGTTCCGTGTGCTGCGCTGGCTCGCCAGATGCAGCTTGTCACGCTGGCCACGTGACCCGGAAGTGTCTGCGGACAGTGCTTGCTCCCGGCCTATAGAGTGAGATGGGCGCACAACCCTAGAGTCTGTCAAGACTGGCCCGTATGGGCAGGGGTACCTTTACCTTTACCTTAATAATACAGTGGTACCTCGGGTACCTAGTGGTACCTAGGGGACGCGGGTGGCGCTGTGGGTAAAAGCCTCAGCGCCTAGGACTTGCTGATCGCATGGTCGGCGGTTCGAATCCCCGCGGCGGGGTGCGCTCCCGTCGTTTGGTCCCAGCGCCTGCCAACCTAGCAGTTCAAAAGCACTTCCGGGTGCAAGTAGATAAATAGGGACCGCTTACCAGTGGGAAGGTAAACGGCGTTCCGTGTGCTGCGCTGGCTCGCCAGATGCAGCTTGTCACGCTGGCCACGTGACCCGGAAGTGTCTGCGGACAGTGCTTGCTCCCGGCCTATAGAGTGAGATGAGCGCACAACCCTAGAGTCTGTCAAGACTGGCCCGTACGGGCAGGGGTACCTTTACCTTTACTTTACCTCGGGCTAAGTACTTAATTCATTCCGGAGGTCCGTTCTTAACCTGAAACTGTTCTTAACCTGAAGCACCACTTTAGCTAATGGGGCCTCCCGCTGCCGCCACACGATTTCGGTTCTCATCCTGAAGCAAAGTTCTTAACCTGAAGCACTATTTCTGGGTTAGCGGAGTCTGTAACCTGAGGCGTATGTAACCTGAAGCGTATGTAACCTGAGGTATCACTGTAATGGTGAAATAATAATAATGGTGAAATAATAATAATAATGTTTAGAAAATAGGTAAGAGCTGGGAACGTGAAAGAGCTGGGAACGTGATAGATATTGTTACACACAGCCCAATCTCTGAGCAGCAAGAGAATCTGGGGGTTCCAGCACTTACTCAGACTTTGGTTTCTGTGGAATGAAGGTAGGTGGAGACTGTGGTGTCTTTAGGATTATACGGCTTTATTTACACATATATACATCCTGAGCATGGGATGGAAGGGCTCATACTTCCTCCTCCAGGAAACATAAGCCCACTTCTGACACCAGTGTTGCATGCTCCCCAATCTCTGAGCAACAAGAGACTAGGGGTTCTAGCACCTATCCAGGTTCAGTGTCCTTGGGAAAAGGGTCAGCAGGGGCTGCAGTATCTTTCGGATTATATAGTTTTGTTTACACATATATACAGCCTGAGCATAGGACGGAGGAACTCGCAGCATTAACATCCCAATAGATCTGCCCACCCCATTAGAGTTCCAGGGCGATCCCCAAGCCATAGCTTTTGAAGGATCATCCAGATTGACACCCTCCCCCAAGCCTATAACATTATGGACAGCGGGGAGAAATCTCTTATATCCCTAGGATTTCAAAGGATGGCTGCATTTCGGCTTGCAAGTTATTTCGCAAAACACAGATTTGCTAAGTTCATCTACGAATGTGAGTGGGCTCAAATTTTTCTCCCATCCCTAGCAGTGACTTTCTGAAGTAGGGGAGGGCTCACCTTATAGCCCACATGGCCACCCCCCCCCAAAGAGAGTCCCAAAATGCCAGCAGATGTGTTGATCCTTGGTAACTACACCCACCCACCCCAAATAGCAGGTGGGCCCACCAGGAGGTCTGCTGCATACATACAATATTGGGACAGGGCTTTTAGTGTGGTAGCACCTGCCCTCTGGAGTGCCATGTAGTTACATTTCAGACAAGTTCTTATTGTCTTTCTGGGGTCTATTCAAGACATTCCTCTTCCAACAAACCTTTTCAGTGAGGATTCTTTATCCCAGTCTGAACTCGTATTCAATTTGAAATTGTTCTCTTATATGGAATTGTCTTAATCTGATATATGTTTGTGTGTGTTTGTGCATGTGTGTATGAAAATGTTTTAACTGCCTTTATACATAAAATTGTTTTATATATGTTTTATTTTTGAGAGTTTTTCATTGTTGAGCTGCTCCAGGATGTTTCACAGGAAGTGATTCACAAACAGAAACAAACAGGATAATACCCAAATCAATTCAAATCTTTATTGCTGTGGTCAATGAGCAGGACCAAGCATCATATCCAATGTGTTCAGACCAGCTGACAGTCATAAAATTGTAAACCATTCCCCTACTTCCTCTTTGATAAGCTGTTTCAAACCAACTTGAAAGCCTTGTTATCTCCCCAGCCATTTGCCAGAGCATGGAGGGTTTCTCAGTTACCCCACTTTGGCAGAATGTTCTTGCTCCTCCTCAGTAAGAACGTCTTGAACTTGCTTTCCCAAATAGCCCTTTTCTAGTAAAAGACAAAAATTGATACTTGAGCATGTAAGGTAAAGGTAAAGGGACCCCTGAACATTAGGTCCAGTCGTGGCCGACTCTGGGGTTGCGGCACTCATCTTGCTTTATTGGCTGAGGGAGCCGGCATACAGCTTCTGGGTCATGTGGCCAGCATGACTAAGCCGCTTCTGGCAAACCAGAGCAGTGCACAGAAACACCGTTTACCTTCCCGCTGGAGCGGTACCTATTTATCTACTTGCACTTGATGTGCTTTCGAACTGTTAGGTTGGCAGGAGCAGGGACCAAGCAACGGGAGCTCACCCCGTTGCGGGGATTCGAACCACCGACCTTCTGATCGGGAAGTCCTAGGCTCTGTGGTTTAACCCACAGTGCCACCCGTGTCCCACTTGAGCATGTAAAGGGTGCCCTAATTGTTTGTTCAGTGACCCAGAGTTCTGTGGTGGCAATGGATTGCCATGCTCTGATGCCCTGAGATCATTTAAGCTCGCTGATGACTTCTGGGGTTTTCCTGCCCTCTTTCTCCTAGGCTTCTTTACCAATAAGGGAAATTACTCTCTAGACAAAGCCAAACACACAAGGTGTGTCCACATGATATCTTTAACAAGTGTACAATCTGTGTGCCTTTGTATACACTAGTTGAACCGACACCTGTACAGTTATTCCCTGGTAATCGTCAATGAGTGTAGTGTCTGTGGTCCTCCGTAATCAACAGCTGAGCTATACAATGATTCCGCACCCTTTCACACAAAAGCTTGCAGATGTGCAGAGAGACGGCTTGTCCAGTGTTCACAAGTGAACAGGCCTACACACAAACATGCTTTTCCTTCCAGACACACTTTTTCCGCAGCCATCATTCAACAGGTTGCTTTCTGCAGACCTGCCCATTTGGGTCTCCACCTCCCATAGTTCCCTCCCTCCCTCAGTCCCCACATGTCACAGAACCACAGCTGGTGAGGAACACACACGGCCACGTGGGAGATGTTTGTTCTAACTGATTCTAGTCCTCATGAATCCTCATGAGGTTCAGGGAGGTGAACCAGAACGTCCCTCTCTCTGTCCCAGTGCCTGTCTCTCTGCCATCGCTCTTAAGCAACAGCAAACCAGCCGTTACGGAAGAGTGACAGGCGCAATGTTTGCAAACCAGCGCTCTAGTGAAGAAATTCGAAACCCAGGAGCAGCCGTCATGACTCAGGTCCTGGCTCTCTCATCTCCCAAAAATGATACGTGACAGGAGCAGCGCTCAGAAAGTCCCGTTGGGAAAACGGTGAAGTGAAACCAGGTGGGGCCTCCAGATTTCAAGAGAGGGAATGTCTTGGGTCACATTCATACTACAGATTTAGAGCACTTTAACATAAAGGAAAAAGAGACTCCCCTAGGAGGAAAGGTTGCAGCGTTTGGGACTTTTTAGCGTACAGAAAAGACAAGTACTGTATGAGGCAGCATGATAGAAGCTTATAAAATGACAGAAGCTTATAAAATTAAGCATGGCATGGCCAATGAAGCTGAATGTTGGAAGATTCAGGACAGATAAAAGAAGGGACCCCCTCACACATTGCATAGTTAATCTATGGAACTCACTCCCACAGGGCCCAGTGATGGCCACCAACTTGGATGGCTTTAAAAGAGGACTGGACAAATTCATAGAGGGTCATAGGGCTACCTGCAGCTACT